GCCAAAAATCACAGTCTTCAACAAAGCTTGATTGGATAAAGCAGATAATGAAGGAATAGAAGTGAAAACATGGTTAAAACAAGGTGGAACGGAAACAACATTTCAATGTAGATTGTGCAGAACAGGTGACCGTGATTGTGCGAATCAAGGATGGGCAGCAATTCAACAACATATGAATACGAAAGGACATCTTACGAACATGAAATCGTTGAAACAGAATTCTACATTTGTCTTTGAATCTTCAAAGACAACAGCATTCGCAAGCGATGCTGTTCCTAGAACGACACAATTGATTTTGGATAATGTAAGAAAATCGGAAATGTTGAATTTTGATGAACAAGTAACCAAAGCAGAAATCGTATGGGCCCTGACTGCTTCACAACGTGGTTACAGTTACAATTCATGTGATGAATTGGGTGATGTTTTTCGTACCATGTTTCCGGATTCAAAAATCGCCGAACAGTTCAGCATACAATCAAAGAAAATGTCGTATGACATGTCTCATGGTCTTGGTCCATACTTTCATCGTCGATTGATCGAAGATTTGAAGCGTAATGAAAAGTTTGTCTTATGTTTCGACGAGCAAATAAATCATCAAAACAACAAACAGCTTGACTTATTAGTAAAATATTGGTGTCATGATAAAGGACTTGTCGTCACTCGGTATTACAAGTCTGTTTTATTGGGACATGCACAAGCGAATGTTCTTCAAAATGTTATTATCGACTCATTCAAAACGGATGGTCTAGATTTGAAATGTTTGCTGATGTTGGGCCGAGATAATCCATCTGTCAATATATCATTGGAAAATTTGATCGATCAGTTAATGAAAAAACTCGGATCTTGTCTACTTAAAGTCGGTTTCATGTAATTTACATGCGGTACACAATGGCTTCAAAGCTGGTAATTCAGATGCCTTTTCAACAAGAATTTGTTTATTATTTGCCTGTTTCTTTCCCTCTTTCTATAGGTATATCATCGACTGGCTGGCATGTGGAAAATATTTGTACGGAAATTTATTCATGGTTCAAACGGTCACCCGCACGAAAGGAAGATTTGGTCCGTGTTACAAATGAATACAACGATTTGGTCGAGTCAACGTTGTTGTATTTTGTCATCACAAGAGGGATTTTGCTTGGCAAAGTGATAGCACGTGTTCTGAGTAAGTTTATTAAGAATCTACTTTCTCTTTCACTTTTTTTCATGAGACTTTCTGTTTGATTTTTTTCAGCATTATGGGAAGCATTGAATGAATATTTTTTGGTATTTCTACCATCGAATCAAAAAGTACAAATTCGAGATAATGATCGCTATGACCCAATCAAATCAAATTTGACTTCGAGTGTGGCTAAAATTCGATTGCAATTCGTGCTGTTTTTGTGTGAAAATTTATTCGATCGTTTTTTGACTTGGTTTCAGCAAGAGGGACCATTGATTCATCTTCTTCATCATGAATTGTCAGAATTATATTGAAGTGTTTTGTTACGATTCTTGACACCTGATTGTGTTGGTAATAGATCCGATGGTGATCTGTTAGATTTGGATTTCAAGTTGAACGAAAAACAATTGAATAATACACACATACGTATTGGTAAGTTGAAATCTAGTGTTTCAGTATGATAGACTGCAGAGCCTTCTTCTCGTTTTTAGGAGAAGGAGCGCGTAAACTATTGACTGAACTTACACAACAACAACGTGAAAAGTTTTTCGAAGATGTAAAGAAAATGTATCATGGCATAGCACAATATTTCAAACTGAATTTACCATTGAAAAATTCATTTTTACGTGATGTACAAATTCTACATCCTTTATTGCAATCTGTACAAACCACTGATCAGATCAATCGTATTGCACGTGCCGTTCCATGTTTATTGAATGACAGTGAGATTGATCGGTTACGAGACGAATGGTTGGCATATTCAATCGGAGACATCGATGAAAAATGGTCAATCAAGGAGCAGAAAAAAGATTCGGCCGGGAATAATCATATTGTTTATCAACGCATTGATTACTACTGGAATCACATTTTCGCAATAATAACAACAGATGGACGTGCAAAATATCCGATATTGGCTAAACTCATTAAAAATATTCTTATTATTCCTCATGGTAACGCCGATGTTGAACGTGGCTTTTCGATTAACGAGAACATTGTTACTGAAAATCGATCATTGTTATCTGAGTCATCGATCAATGGACTACGTTCAAGTTATGATGCTGTTAAATTTGCTGGTCGTGGCTCCAGTCACAAAGTAGGTATTTCTTTTTTTTATTTGACGGAGTACTTTTTTGCACGTTTTTGGTCAATTCAGGTACCAGTGAACAAAGAAATGATCCAGGCGGTTCAAAAATCGTCTTCACTGTACAAAGAAGAATTGGCTAAGGTGAAAGCGGCCATGGAACGAATGGAAAACGAAAAAAAAGAACGTGGGAATGCCGAAGAAATTAACAAACAAATATTAAAAGAAGACAATTATTATTAAAACAAAAAGATTTACAACGACAACAACAAGGAGCCAGTTCAATTATTAGTGACGGAAGTGCACGTTTATGAATTGCAATTGAAAAAAAAGATTGCATAAATATCGATGCAGCAAAAATGTTGATCGATGGTGGTAATGCCAAATGCAGAGGTATTGCTGAACAATTATCAAAAGTTACAGATGATTTAATTAAAATTCAAAAGAAAAGAAAAGATGCATTTGCCCAACAAGAACAACAGAAAACAACTAACTAAGTAACCGGTGACAATTGATTGAAAGGGATACTTCTCTTTTTACCATTTTGATCACCTTTGGTCAAAGGCTCATTAAATAGTTTTAGTCATATCATATATCAGTAGTCATGAAAACTGGTACTTGTCTTTTGTATAAAAATGGTACTCAATAGTACTCTGGTGTTTTTTCACTATACTAAACGGTGTTGATTTAGTAAAAACAGACGTCCTATATTATTAGACAAGTCCTATATAAATTCCTTTTCCAAATCCTATATTTTCCTATATTTTCAGGAAGGGCCGGTACGAACCCAGGTAGTATTGATCCTGGTTCAAGCACATATTCTTCTTATTGTTTACAGAGAGATACGACCAAATTTATTAACTGGCCGCTCGATAAAGCTGAATTACTTAACAACTGTCACCTCACACAACTCTGTATGACCTTGCTTCAAAAAGCTACAAGCATTTTCGTACAAGTCCTAAAATGGATCAACCAATGCACAGCGTTTCTCTCAGAACAAACTTTTTGTGCAAACATGCTCAGTGCACGGCACTTTTTTAATAATGGTTCATCAGTAGAGTGACTTTCTTTTTCTAATCGAAAGAGTGAAGAATACAAAAAGTGGTTTGAGGGTTGTGAGATTGTTGGATCTCTAGAAAACGAACAAGGGCTTAATTAAAAAATCGGCGTCGGTCAGCCCATGTAGTCTGGTGTCTAGTTTAAAATAAAACAAACCCGAACTCTCTAGCTTGAAGTATATTAAAAAGTCCTGGGAAAAACTTCAGAGTCCTATTTGGACCTTGATCTCTGAAAAACTCCTAAACGGCAAGACTTGGAGACAAAACAAAAATTTCATTCCCATAACTGATTGTGCCTAACGTTTACGGAAAGTTTCATCAAAGTCGGATGTACGTGTCGGAGATAATTTCTGAGGAGGGCCCTTAACACTAGTGTTTTTCCAGAGTTTTGGAAACTAGGTTCTGGTCATCATTTATATAAATCTGGAGAACCTCAGCTACCAAGCAACCATACTCCAATTACATTGTTAAACTCTATATCAAAGATCTGGGAACGAACTGTTTTCATGTTTATGGTTTTCTTCACAATAATAAAATTTTACACTAATCAGTCTGGTTTCTTACGAAACCGCTCAACAGTGGCTCAACATCCCAGATCCAATTTACGACTGCCGTAAACGACCGTATACAGTCCTATACGACCGCCGTAAATCACCGTTTGCGGTCGTATTTGCACCGTAAACGGCCGTATACGGTGCAAATATGGCAGTAAACGGGCGTAAATACGCCGGCCGTTTTACGGCCGTAACTGCGCAGTGACCGTTAACGGTCAGTTTAGAAAAAATTATTTTTCGTTTCCAGCATCTTTTACAGAAGATGTATACAGAGCTTCAGGACGTCACCCATGCGTTGTATCGTCTTGAATATCAGTTACCACTCACATACATACAATTATAATTGTTTGCCAGGATTGAGATTCGAACACACATACCTGGAATTATAAATCCAGCACATACTGGTTATACCATATTGCTTGTAAACAACCGTGTGAATTTGCTATTCGTGTTTGCAATAAATACCATGAATTTCCACGCGTGGGCTCCCATGTATGAAAATACCTTACCACAGCTTCCGTCAAACTTCCATATATAGCACAGTAATCATAGTTTGTTGAAGTGGAAATAAATTGTAAGGTGCCGCGAGAGATTGGCCACCAACTAGCCGTTAACGGCCTGTTTACTGGCCAGCTTTTTGCTGTTTTGAGAACGTTAATGCGCCGTTTTTTGTGCCGTTAACTAGACGTTAACCGTTTTTTTGGACCTGAGTAGTTGATCAAAAGAACACTTTGATGCCATTTTGATCACATAAAGAACACTAGTTCATATCGGGAAACTTATAAGAATACATTTTGCGACGGAATTCCAAGGAGCACAGGCCACAGGAAATTCGCCGTATACGGCAGTCGTAAACCGCCGTATTTCGTCGTAATACAACCGCCGTATACGGCTGATGTATACCGCCGTACGTGGCCGTATACGGTCGTCTACGACCGTGTCTATTGGACCTAGGACATTCGTATAGTACGGCATATTTCGACTAGTTTCGATCAAGGCTCTGCAGTAATTGCGGCTTTCTTGAATTTAGTAAAGCGTTTGACAAAGTTAACCATGATGGTTTACCTATTAGAAAATTTGGTGCTCGCTTCGCGCTGAACCAAATTAGACAGAAATTGAGTACCAGGTGCCAAATTTTTCTGTGAATTCGATAGCGAGTTCCTTTTATTTCATTGTGACGTCTTCTCTAATGTCGACATAATCTGCCTGGTTTTTGCCTAAATTTTATTTTTCTCAATGGCGCATTTTTTTTCAACAAATGACAAACACAAAATTTCGACAAAAATCGCGTAGACTATGTCGATACCAAAGAAGACGTTAGAATGAAATAAAAAAGAAACCCACTGTCGAATTCACCGACAAATTTTACACCTGGCATCCAATTTTTAGTTAATTTTGATAAGTGCGGAGAGAACACCAAATTTTCTAATGAATTAAAAAATGCTGGTTTATCCGACTCTCTTCTTAAGCGAGACTTTCTGCAGTACGAAGTGACTGTTTAAGACCCACATCAGCTGAAGAATTGGGATTTTGGCGGGTCAAAATCTTCGAGAAAATGCCACTTTTGATCCTCCAAACAGAAATTCTCAAAAAATTCGAAGATCACATACGACAGAGAATTCAATTTTCCACAAACACAGCGGGAAAACTTTATTTTAAAAGTGGTGGAAAAGCTCCAAACTTGAAAACAAGTTGGCCGACCGACCACGAGTTTTCAGTTTTTTAAGATTTCCGGCATCAAAACTTCACTTGAAAACATGAATAACGTGATATTTAGAATCAGCGTGTGTAAATTTTCTAATGGCGTTTTTAATATGTGTAGCTTACACTACAGTTACAGTACGCAAATAATCAAGATTATCTTTAATCGTGATTAACCCTTTCACTCCCGGTGGGATATATATTTCCCACCTAGTGAGAATTTATATTTTTCAAAAAATTTTGAAACTATTGGATGTTTTCATGATTTAGAAGGAATATTTTCATCCTTTATTCGTAGCTGGGATACATTTTTGAAGTATTGCATAGATATTTTTATGAATCTAATAACATAAAAGAACGAATGTAATATGTATTTTTTGTGGTGTTTGTCTCTGTGTGAAAAAATGTTTTTCTTTGTATCATCAAAACTATGTGTATCAACAATAAACTGAATACACGCATACTCATAGGAAAACAC